CAATCCTCCCGCGTCCTGCACCGTCACTGCATTCAATTGTTGCAAATCTTGCACCCACCGTAACGTTCCGTTCGGCTTGATAAAACAAAACCAAGGGGAGGCGTACGGTCCACTGGAATAGTCTGCCACGTATGTCCGCATCTTCCCGTCCAGGTAGTCCACCACCTTCTTCTCTTCATCTGGATTCGGGTATCGCGCGCCCCTCATATTCCACGGCTCGTGTGGGACAGTATGGATTCGTATCATTGGAATCTTATCCACGTCCAACCTCTCACGCTCGTCGTCATTAAACGCATACGCGCAATGCCTCCTCTTCATGGTCTCCACCATCAAGGTCCTCTCCTGGGGCGAAAGGAAGCCAGGCTCGCCAATTATCAGCCCCTCCCCATTCTCGTTATTGATGCGGCACGACCCTGCCTGCGCGTGCTCCCGCATACGTCTTATCAGCCTTCGCTCCCGCTCATAATAGGCTTCCTCATCCTCTGTAACAAGCACGGGGATCGGGCGACATTTCTTATCTATCGTCTTGTACCACCTTTGGGAGCCCTGCTTAAGCCCTTCCCAAAAAAAGGCCGACTTGTCGTTCGAGTCTGGGCCATCGCAGGGTCCCCTTTCTATCAAGGAAGTCGATAGATCAGTTCCACTTCTCCCACTTGAGGGCTCTCCAGGACCTGCTCCCTTAATGCCTTTATAGCCTCAGGGTCCGCCATATCATGCGCCGCCACCACCTCCATTGCCTTATTCACATCGTTAAGGCTCAGGGACAACACCTCACCTGCTCCTTCCTCCTCCTGCTCCTCCCGAGGTCTTCGTCGCTCGTACTCAGACTCCTTGAAGGTAAAGGAGCCGAGGTTGAGCCTGTTCCTCCCACTTCCGGGCCCTGTGTTCTGGCACTTAATGATTTCGTAATTCCCGCAGGCCGGATCAGATAGGGTCAGGATCATTGTCCCCTCATGCCTATTGAAGACTAAGGTCTCCGTTCGACAGAGGAACGACCTCCCCAGAAGGATAGGGTGATCAACATCGGGCATGACGAAGAAGCACGTTCGCGCCCTCACCCTCCCGATCTCCACCATCACATTAGACGCGGTGCCGCAGAAAATGGCCTTGCAGTTGGCGCCATGCAACACACCATGGTCCGAATGGTCCACCTTCAGCCCTAACATGGTCGCGTCCCGCTCCCGAATAATATTCATTTCAGCGCCCGTGTCCACCATTGCAATGCTCGGCTGGTCTCTCACCTTCAGATCCACCATCCCACATGCCACACATTTCCAATCCATCCTGGTGCCCGCCTCTGTCCACTTCATTTCCCTGGGCAGAATTGAGCTCAGGTGGACATTGGGTACTAACCTTTGCGAGAGCCGCCCCTTCAGCTCGCCACGGAGCCTTGGTGCCGATGCCAAAATGTCCTTTAGATTCATCAAATCGTTATGGCCCTCCAGAAGCTTGTCCACCATTCGCTCCACATCAAAACCTTCCTCCAGCCGGACTGCGTACTTCTTCCTTTTTGGCACGCCATCGTGCAGGCTTGGCTCCGCCTCTCCCTGAATCCCTCTCTTCTTGGCCCTCTGCTCGGCTCGCTGGTCCTCCTCCTGGCGGAGCCTCTCATCCTCTCCGTCATCATTCTCATCCTCCTCTTCTTGAACCTCCACCACTTCCTTGCTTCGTTCGGGCACAGGCCCCCTCCTAGGCATCTCTTCGCTAGGTGCCTGACTAGGTCCTTCACTCATAGTAGCCTTACTCTGGCTCCTGGTCTGTGCGGCCTGCGCCACCCTCCCATGCGACGTGGGGGGTCAAAAGGTCATCCCAGACCTAGGACCTGCCCCAGCCGTAGCCACAACTAGACACCCTTGCGGTCCCGACGATGACTCCGGGCCGGACCCATAAAGCATCACTTCAGGGAGGTTCATTTCCCACTCTCGTGCTTTCTCACACATCACCCTCAATCGTTCCTGGTACCTGCCCACCTTCGCCAGCAGGTCCTCCATCCTTTCCAGGATGGTCAAGACTGACTCTCTTACCACCTCCTGCGCCTCATCCTCTGACTCAACGACTATAGGCTCCTCCTTTATAGTCCCCGCCTTTAATCGTTGAGTCACCTCCTCACTCTCGTCCACAATCTCTTCGACCCTCACACCCGGATCCTCCCTTTCTTGCCATATCCTAAACATCGTTGGGGTCGCTGGTGGCCCTGCCGCCGCTCGCCTGAGGGCTTCCTGCCTGATCCCTCCTAGGATCTTGGGATCGATATGCTTTCCCTACCTATCGTATATATCCCCGTCTATACAGGAGGAGATCAGTCCTGCCAGCTCGTCGTCCCGCCGCTGTTGGCAGAACCGTATGGTGTGGCCCACCTCGCCGCAATGCCAACAAGTTGCGTTCCCCCAGTCGAAGCGGTGCCTCCCATACCCTTGGCCCCCTCCCTGGCTGCCTTGGCCACCTTGGTTCTGACCCTCTTGACCATTCCAGCCTCCTTCACGGCCTCCATCATTTCCTCCTTGCCCCCAGCCGCCCCCTCCTCTACCCCCTTGGCCCCGGCCCCCATTGCCCTGCCCGCCTTGCCCTTGGCCCCCTCCCCCGGCCACACTAGCTTGCGAGGCCTGTTGGGAGGGCGGCGGTTGGGCCACAGGCTGGCTTTGAGTCGTCGGGTAGCTTGGGGGCCCATACTTGCTGATGGGCCTGAATAGGGGACCATGTGTCCCGTGTGTGCCTGACTCCCTCCACACGAGACACAATGGTTGCAACTGGGCCAGGGCGTGGATTGACAATGCGGCACCCAGTGTCCGCAAGTTGGTGGCGGCCCCATGTGCGGCGATCCGGCTGGCGCGGCCGCGGCGACAGGTGGTGGTGCGGCAAGGGCTTGGGGAGCCTGCCCTTTCCCTGATCCTTGTCCCCCCTGTAGCAGATTACGCTGCTTCCTCTGGGCCTTAGTCAGGGCTTGGGAGCCCGTCTCCCCTCCACCGTAGTCTTCGCGCCCAGCCTCCTCATCTCCTACTCCTGACGCCCGGCCTTGGGCCACTGCCACCACTTTTTTCTGTAGTTCCACTTCACTGTCATACCCCACTACCGCCAACACATCCGTGACAATTCTCTTTACCCCTGGGGTCCCGGATGCGGTGGCATCCCTTTCCTTCCTCTTGCGCCTCTGCAACCTCATTTGGTGCTGCTCCACCTGGTCCAGGCTCCCTTCTTCCACTCCCTTGCCAATGGTTGCCCAGGTGAGCCTCGCGCTCCCTTCCCCATACTTTGTCAGCTCCGTGGCTTCCGAACCCGTAAGCAGCCCCAAAAACGTGGCGCACTGCGCCTCCTCAGAAATCCCGTGCACTTTCCTCGCCTTTTTCTTGGACTCATGCACGAACGCCCCAATAGTAGAAAAGTCTTCCTTGTTCATGGCCTCCAAGTCGGCTATGGTCAACAGTCCATCCCCCAGCCTGTACTTCCTTCGCATTAGTAGGTCCCCAAACTTTGTCCAACTGCTACCGGTAACGTCCACGACCTTACTTACTTCCCGATGGTGACTATGCAGGACGTACCTCAGGGCCCGCTGGAGCTTGACCTCATCTGACAGTCCCACCAACGCCTGCTCTGTCAAATCCAACCAATCAGATACCCGATCCCCCTTGAAGTGAAATGTCTCAACCTTTGGGACATTGCTTGGCGCCCTCTCGCGCTTGTCGAATGCATCGATGAGATCATCGATCGTCACGAGCCTTCTCCCACCGTCCGCCATCTCCTCTGGCATTTTTGACCAATCGCCTCCGGCTTCAAACTTCCTGTTATAAGAAACAATAGGACAAAAGACCCCACTCAGCGACTCGATCCCCCACGGCCCTATCGGGTTGACTTCTTAAACATTCGACGCTCTAGACCTGACGAACATCTCTCTTCTCATTATCCCTTAGACCTGCCTCGATAAGGCCTACCCCTACCATAAGATCTCCTCACACACTCGCCTTTACCCAAGCCGTCAGTCAAGCCGTCAATCAATCAACCAGTTAACCCACAGTCATATAGATCACCATACAGTTCATCTCATAGTCTTTCCCTTACTCACTCATATGCCTAGTTTCTCTCTTACTCCCATACCCGGATGTCGTTCCACCAGGGACAACGGTAGGCTTCCGTTATCCCTGGCAACGGCGCCACCTGTTGAGCGCATCGGTCCGGCACCGCACGCGGAGGCGCAGGACCCTCTCGGCCGCGTCACGTAGGAGTTGGATTATATCTCGACATAACACGCAAAAGGAGCTTCCTTAGGCCGCTCCGGCCTTGTGCGCCAGCGGGACCCTCTCGGCCTACTACAGGATAGGGCCTACGCGAGGCACAACTTACCTCCACCTAACGGGAGTTGTCACCTCCCTTTGGTGGGCGTATCCCCGCCGAGCTACAAGTCCACAGTATGAAGGCTAATCAGTTGCAATCGCAGAGGTGGACCGGCCGAGGGCGTTTCTCGTTCGCTGTAGCATAGGGGGTACGCGCGGTAATACGCCTATCGGACCCGCACACGAACCGGCATCTTTGGGGGCTGAGGTCCCAAGCGCGGTTCGTCGCCGGTCGACTAGGACGCTTCCCATATACCACGCGCACGCCACTCATTGAACACAAAAAAAAAAACACGCACACATACACACGAATCGACACAACACAAACAACGCGACAACGCTCCTAACCCCTCGGTAGCCAACCCGTAACCTTCCGACGCGAAGATCGGATAGGCGTCGCGCGCGAGACTTAGTATAAAACCGCACGGACGCGGAGGTTAACTCATACCGACTCTCGATGCAGGCGTACGCAAACAATTGCGATGACGACGTATTATATGGTACCCACACTCGCGCGGCCCTCGTTAATCTCGAGGGTCGTGTTCGACACTCAAGTGTCGGCTAACACGCGCCTTGAGGGTTAATCTCTTGACGCCAGACAACTGTCATGCATGGTTAAAGACCACATCCTCTTCTGCACCCTGTGCAGAGGGGTTGAGTAGACAACTTTAAGTTGTCGTGGCAGTCAGACATCAAGGGGTTTGACTTTGACGGCTGCCACGGACTACAACGTTCAACCATAAAAACTTTAAAAAGCAGACGAATAGGTCGAGGGCCTCCCCCTTTTGTTCAAACCGTAGTCATAATCTTCGGGGTATCCTCTCTCTCCTCGGGTGATGCCCGCAGCGTACAATAACTTCAAGCCTTTGCGTCTACGTGCGAGCCTCACGATCCCATAACTTTTAGGCGTTGGGGTGGCGAAGCATCACACGCAAAATTTTTACATAAGGCCGCGCGGCCGCCGACCAGTCCTACACCGACCAACGATGCCAATCATATGTGGTAATCGCGGCTCTGGCCTAGCGATATTGAATGGCTGAAGGAACACGTCGCGAGGGGTTACCCCTCACGATATTGAACGGCTGAAAGACACGCCGTTCGGCCCTCGCGACATTTCCGCCTTTCAGGCGGAGTGTCCCGCCGGCCAAGATAAATAGGCTCTATGCGAGGGGAGACTTCTCCCCTTCAGGGCCTAGGGCTTGGGATGTCCTGGACAAGGACCTTGAGTCCCGGCCCAGGACCAACCGTCCGACTAAGAAAGCCCTAAGACGCAAAATAGGCAGAGGGGAGGGTCTTTCCTGTCTCTCAACCCTAACTTTTACGCGGTTGTTAACATGACCTCTTAGGCCTCCCAAATGTTCATCATACGTATACCCACGCATACATACAAAAGGGGGATAAAGTTGTGACGATCACTTCTCACAGGCACAGTGGGACTCCTCACAACCATGCATATGTATATGGAGTCGCAGGCAGTCTAAATTCCAAAATCCGAATCACAGGACATACCTGCAGTCACACCAAGAATCAAACGACAAAGCACGCACTACACGGAGTCAACCCCTACCATTCTCTATGCTCACACCCCCNAATCACAGGACATACCTGCAGTCACACCAAGAATCAAACGACAAAGCACGCACTACACGGAGTCAACCCCTACCATTCTCTATGCTCACACCCCCTTGCTTTAGCCATGCAAACCCCAATCGCCGACCCAACCAACCCCAATTAAATACTCAGTACCTTTGTTAAATGGCCATTCAATAAAAGTCCGGGTGAAACCCTTAACAAACAGCAAAACCACCAGGGCTAAAGCCTTTTAGGTTGAGTATGGAGAGTGAGTTGAGGTTGAGTCGAAGACCGACGAATCGGCAACCAACCTGTTATCAATGATAACAGAAGATGATCCTCAAGGGATCAAGCTGACTCTAGTCCTGATTTTGAATCAGACACCCCAAAGGATCGGCAACATAAGGTAGGTCAAGTACCCAAACTAAATCATCAGCATATGGGGGATAAACCTCCATAGCACATTCTCACCCAAAGCTACCTGCCAACTAAGTCCAAGCCTGCCTCTAAGTCAGTGCCCAAGCAAAGGTAGACTAATGGCAGAATCTTCCCTATTCTTGGTGGATTGCCAGAATCGCCACCTGTCAAAATATAATCTAACTCCTCTAGTTCAGGAAAATTTCGGCAGCGCTTCCCGTAGGAAAAGTGTCTTTTCAGAATTCATACAAACCCAAATATCAAAAGCAGGGGTAGTCTATAACTCTGGGAAGTCAAATCTTGTCTAACTCCTTGACTTAGTAAAAATTTGGGCAGCATCTCCTTTAGAATTGGGGATTTCCCAGATTTATACCAAGTCGAATTTGAACTCAGCCCCCAACCTTGAGTTCAACTTAGACAAAATCTGACTAACTCCTTAGTTTTGCGGAAATTTCGGCAGCACTACTCCTAGAAAAGTGCTCTCCCAAAATTTGTACACGCCTAAGTTTGAAACCTGAGACTAACTTAGACTCCCCAAAGCCCAATTTTATCTAACTCTCTGAATTAACAAAAATTTGGACAGCACTCCTTTTAGAAAAGGAGGCTTTCCAGATTTTTACTAAGTCAGATGTAACGAAACGACAAGCTGAACTTTGGCAGGTCAAAATTTGTCTAACTCCTTGAATCTGTAAAATTTTCGGCAGCGCTTCCCGTAGAGAAAGTGGTTTACCAAAATTTGTACAAGTCCAAGTATAAAAGCGAGCCTCAACAATGCAAGAATCGACCTAAGTAAAACAAAGTCAGCCCAGAAAATGCAAGAATTGACCTAACTCCTATTGCTCTAGCACGTGACGAGCCTCTAAAGCAACTACTTGTCAACCTGAAACCCAGACCAAGTAGTAATCTCACTCAGCCACATGAAGGTCAAACCACAAAGGTAAGTACTCTCACCATCCCCAAGCCAACCTGAGCAAACAATAGTTCATGATCTCTCAGTGAGTCATCCCCTCATACCCAACTTACATAAGGCATAGGTCAGGGCACCTGAACTTACAGAGCGCGCCTAACTTAGCCAGGCCCAAAGTCAAAATACCTAAACTTATAGAGCGTTCTGACTTGGTCAGGTATACACAAACAGAGGGCACAACTACTTCTCTCTTCTTTGGGCGTATGACTAGACCACTCTAGTGGCCCTGAACTGTTTAAATAGCCAATTTATATATACCTCTCTGAACTTATTCTTTAAAGAGACATAAGGCTGAGTCGCTCAACTTAGAACATTGCTCAGCCTGCCCACATTTACCTTCAGTTATATCTCTTAATTATACTCTCTTCAGTTGTGATAAGCGATAGTCAGGCTACCTAAACTTATAGAGCGGCATGAGTAGCCTGTTCTTAATAGCATAGTAATATAATATAACCAAGTTATATCCATTAGGTTCCAACATGTGCGAGGCATTGGGTCAGACTACCTAAACTTATAGAGCGGTCTGATCCTCAGCCAGGTTTGTTTCTCTTTGATCCAATCTGTGCGAGGCAGTGGGATAGGCTACCTAAACTTATAGAGCGGCCTGTCCCCTGCCAGAATTATTCCCTCAGAACAAAACAGGAGAAGGRYTGAACCACCTAAACTTATRGAGCRGTTCAGACCCTCTCGTTCAGAACCAAMGAAAYTGTGAGAACCCCAAACAGAACAAGGCAACCCAGGGTACCTAAACTTATAAAGYGCCTTGGGTTCCTGAAAGTCACTCACAGTTAAACCCCCATAAGTCAGAGCAGCCAGGACACCTAAGCTTATAGAGCGTCCTGACCCTCCATGCAATTCACAGCACCAGGTCTCCCCAAACTTATGGGGACATCCCAGCCTCCAGAGCTTTAGGCTACCTAAACTTATAGAGCAGTCTGAGGCTCCATACAATCCAAAAATAAACAAAGCGCGGGRCTTCCCCAAACTTAAAGGGACCTCCCAGCCTTAGTGACCCAGTYAGTCTGCACACAATACTGCCTTCCTCCCAACCTTTTCACYAGATGCAACCSATCTCATTCGCAATCTTCTTTCAGGCAATCAATAAACTGAAACTGAGATTTGCTCATACATTCTTTTACCTCAGTTTGACTTATGTCCTGAAAGTCAAACTCAAAACCCAAGTACAGGCGCCACACAATACTCCCAGTCAAACGTAGAGGGATGTACAGGTAAGGGTTATAACAAGGTTTATAAAAGGASTCAGGGAATTACCACTCAGTTCCCTGCCTCCAGGACTCCTCCTGAGTCCCGGCAGAGCTCCCGCAATCGGGGGGGCGAACCTCCCACAGAGGYCTTGGCACGGACTACGGGTCCCAGCCCCGTCTGCCGCCTTCCTCTCAGAGCCAAGGGACAAGACTTAGAGGAAGAAGGACAGAAAGAGAAGTTCAGACTCTCAGATCCAAGGGAGGTGCTCTCRGACTYGCGAGAGAGGGCCTTGAAACCTTGACACGTCTGAGGGCCTCAYAGTAGTGGCCACAAACGCAGCAACTCGGTCAAGACGCARTCAAACCGCTGAGTCCAACCCCCCTGACGAATTCCCAAATCGCGGCAATAGCCCCCTTCACCACCACTTCACCACGCTGCCTGGTCCCCGACTCACCTCC